AACTGTGTACCCCTATGCTGTATTTACAAAGAACAAAACTATCTTGTCTTCTCTTGACCTTGTCCTGTTTTGTTTTGGCCTCTGATAAGCTAAGGAATCTGAGCTGGTTTTGCTTTATCTCTTAGGAGAAATCTTCTATTCCCTGAATTGTGGATCACATTTTCTTAAACATAAGTGACCGGGGAGGTACATGAATTAAATTCCAGATGAGGAAATGCCAGATGAGTTTTACTTGTGCTTTGGATAATGGCAACTCAATTTCTTTAACTTTGCAGACAGCTTATCTCCTCTCGCAACTGAAGATCCTACTTGCTGCCTTCTTGAGTTTCTAAACGTTGTGCATCTCACCTTTCACTGAGATGCTATTGCTTCATTCTCTATAATATCCAAGTAGTTCTGTATGCTCTTGCAGTTCCCCATGGACAATGCTTAGTGTCCTCAGAAAATTCTATTATCATGGACTTAATCTTATGTGAAATACATTAATAAAAATAAGAAATATTATCGGGCTGATATATATTGGACTGATTATTAAGGATTTATATAAATGAAGTTCCTTGGCCTGATTCCTCTCACCTGATTTTGGTTTTTTTCCTTTTAAGCTTACACCCATACAGTTCTTGTACCAGTATGAATTTTCACTAGTATAACTAATACTTTGCCTACATTAAACTCTTTCAAAGGCTTTACTGGCATCCAAATGTCTTACCTGATGTTGAACAAAAATATCAAATGAGGAATATTACTCCATGGAGACGTGCCAATTCCACCTGTCCCAGATGTGATGATATGCAGAGGTACTTCCGATGCAGAATTTCTATGCAGTCTTTCAGCAGAATCTCTTGTTTCAGCTGCTCTTGCCGATTTCAGATTCTTGTGGTGTTCCCCTATTTACAGTCTAATGTACAAGGTCTCTGAAGTACTTCACATCTCCAGAATGGAAATGCAGACAAATAGGATCCCACTGTTCTCACTAAAGAGACAACACTTTGGGATGGAAGTGCAACTTCACCTTTTCTTGCTTCCTATCCCCAGTACCCTGGGATGCAATAATGGTAAGGAAACAACTAATTTAAAATGGACTTGAAACACCTATTTTATTTAGACATTAACAGGCAAGGATATTATGATTTTATTATTATAATAATATTACAGCACCATAGAAAAAAATTAGCTTGCAAGGGACCTCTGAAGGTCTGTAGTCCAACCTGCTCAACATGGATTTAACTACAGGCTAGATCAGGTTGCTCAAGGCCCTGTCCAGGTGATTTTTTAAAATCTGTAGATTTTAAAAATCTGTAGATATAGATCCTACCAGCTCTCTGGCCAACCTGCTTAACTGTTCTAAGAGTGAAGAGTCTTTTTCTCCTCTCCAGTCAGAATTTCTGTTGCTTCAGTTTCAGTCTGTTGCTTCTTGTTTAGCTGTGCATCTCAGAGAAGAGCTTGGCTCACTTTTCTCTATAAAGTCCCATTCCTCCAACTTGTCAAGGTCAGTGTGAATGACAGGCCTGCCTTTGAGCATATGATGGGCTCCCTGCAAGCTCAGGTCATATGCGAACTTGCTCAGGGTCTTTCTGTCCCCTTTTCCAGGTCATTGGTAAAGATGTTAAACAGTATCAGCCCCAGTGTTGACCCTTAAGAAATGCTATTTAATTAGGCTGCCAGATAGATGATCACTGGCAGTTAGTCACAGAGGACTCCTTTACCTTTTGTCTCTCTGGTATATCCAAACTTCTCTTCTTCCTATTTTTCTTCTCTCCCTTTCTCTCCCTCACTCTCTGTACAGGTATGTGCACACACGTTCTGCAGAATTGCGAGTTTGTGTTACATAAATTGACAATAAAGGAATTTGAGACAGAATACACTATTTTTTGCTCTTCTGAATGGCTCGATTTTCACCTGCTTTTTCAGGTTTTTCCTCTAGTGTAAGACAAACCCAGACACACCAGTTGAACAATACACTCAGCATTGCAGACTCGTCCGCTGTGTTATCACTGCATAGTATTCAGAGTCCTGAGAATAAATATATAGGAGCTTTTTCAGGTGAGTGTACTACAGGACCCAAAAAGCTCCTGTTTCCTATAGTCTCATGGACATTGTGTAGGAATCTGCGTGAATCAACTCCTAGTTCAGGGTGAAAATGATGTGTCATATTCTTATCTCCCTTCTCAGGCTTTCTCCTTCATTATCCTATTTTCTGAGTCCTTTGTGCATATTTCTTCAGTACTGCAAAGCCTCTTTTTAGATCTTATTTTTTTCTTTCCCTCTCTGATTTGTCAGATGTTGGAAAGCAGATCTGTTGCCATAGGCTGCTCATCAATTTAGAGGTACAGTTTCTTCTGATTATGAAAATAACTCTGAGAGGGGCTCTGCTTCTTTGTTGTGTTACCATGACATCAAAGATTTTTTCTGTACTATTCCTGAAGTATCATTCTTAGTGCCTCTTCTCAGTATTGGGAGAACATCCAGGTGGTGAATTATCTGGCATGGTCCTCCTGTATGCTTTTACTGCGTGCAGTGAATTCTTTTATTTGTTTGCATCTGAGATTTGAATGGTAAGTGGTAGAGGAAGGAGAGCATACTGGTTACAAGGATCTATTTGAAATCCACCATGTTTGAATTTTAAGATCTTTCTTTAAAAAAAAGATTAAACTTATTGTAGTAAATTGGGTGACACATTGGTAGAATTCTCTTGTATTCTTTTCCTTGAAATTACATATAGTAGGAAAGGTTGACTAGAAATCCCAGGGATGTGACTATTCAGTGCTTACATATCCGCTGCATGTCAGCTGTACAGGTGACAGATGCACGTGGAGCAAGTGCCTTGTGTTCTGGCTAGAAGTGTAGTTAACTGAGAAATATATGCATAGTAAGCTCAATATGTTGGATTTTGCATGAGCATTGGAGATGCTTTGTGTTCATACTGGGCATCTCAGCAGCACGTAATACTACTCGTAGAGATTTTCCAGATAGAACCATGGATGCTCAGAAACTTTGTAACAAGATATAGTTTACGTTTATACAGCTAAATTCTTCTTCTTGCCAGGAGTCCTTTAGCATAAAGGCCTTTGGTTCTAATTGCCAGCGTGTCTTTCTAGTGTGCCATGCACATCTGCCTTTCCTTACCTCCCTGTGGATGCCATTCTAACACGATACTTACTCTGTATCTGCAGACTGATCTGTGCTTAGTTCCTGGTAACACAACGTGCGGGTGATGCACGTTCCTACTTCATTTGCTGTTTGTGTTCATGCCAGACAGCTTTCACCGCCTGCTTAGGCCTGTGGGGGGACCTGCCTCTTTCTTCCACCTAGGACAGCACAGAGCTGCTGCTTGCTGGAGGCTCCAAACCAAGATGCAAGCTCTGTGGAGCCCTGTGAGGCTGGTCCAGTATCTCAGCAATGTGTAAAAGGGAACAGTTGCTGTAGGCCATCTCTTTTTGTCTGGGTAAAAGGGCTGTGTGGGGACTTCAGAACTTGTCCTCCACAAGCTGTTCATTGGGGAAAGCAGTGTTGGGACCTGGGACAGCGGGACCAAAGGTAGAATCAGCTTGTGCTGTGCACCTCAGAAATCAGAAGTGTGTACAGAATTTCAACATGTGAAAAGTCATCTCTGGGACTCCTTGCTGGGCCACTGTCGTGTGAGCACATCACTCTAGAAAGAAAGTCCCTGGAGCCTTCTTATGTCTGGCCGATCGAGCCTTGATTTTATTTATTTATTTATTTATTTATTTATTTATTTCAGATTGCTTTATTTTTCTGTCTTTGTTCAGCAGTTTATGCAATAAAACCAGAATATCCCTTAGCTGGGATGACAGATCTGGATCTTTCCTCTGTCAGCTAATACTCTAAACAGTTGGACTCAATGATCTTAAGGGTCTTTTCCAACCTAAATAATTATAGGATTCTATGACTCTTAACACTCTGTGAGAAGACTACTAGGTGTTGGCCAGCTCATGATAGACATGAACCATGTCTGGTCTGTGGTGGCCATGTTAATAGGGCTGCATAGGCCTTTTGGCCTACCTAGACTGTAGCCAAAAAAAAAAAAAAAAAAAGCTCTGATTTCTCTCTCAATATGTATCCATATGCTGGCAAGTTCTGCAAGTTTCCCCCAGCTCCCTTCCCTAGCTGCATTCTCCACAGACACATTCAGTCTCTTCTTTCTGTGTCTGCCTCCCCAGCACATGTGCAGGCAACCACGATTTATATCCACAGTAGCAATCTCACAGGATGTATCCACTTCCA